TGCGTCATTTTCGATTAAAGATTTCATTATCCATCTGTCGATTTCCTCATTATTATGCATTTCCTTTAGAATATTATTCAGGGCCTCGCTGATCTTCATTTTTGGATCATTTCTTACTATTTGGTAAGTGTTCCGCTCACCTAGGATACTTTCCATTTTCTCCGTGTACTGTTCCTTGACTTAAGTACGTATTTAAACGTTTATATTCTAAGAAGAGTAACTCTAAGCAACTTATCCATCCATAAACATAAGCCTGATGTATTTATTCTAGTTTTGTAATAGGCCAGGTACATTTTAATGCTGAAAAGTGAGATCTCCATCCTTCTTTACTTCCAGGAGCGTATGATATTATTAAGTATGCTGAATAATATAAAGTAATTTTTCACAATTCAACAAGAAATATTTAGCTGTCTTCCAAAATTATTCTCTTTGTTTAGTCCTTTTACCTATCCAGTGTTAATCTTAAGAGAGATTCTCTTACTTTACAGTTTCTTATGAATTAAACTTATCGCAAACCCGAATTTCGATAACGTCTATAGAGCTTTATTATATCTAGCAATTCTTATTAGGATAATTCTTTAGGAGGATTCAAATGACAAAATCATTATATAACTCTGTGAGTTAGAAAAACTTTCTGCACTTTTATGGCACTAGTTTTGGTTAAAGTTGTTGACACATCGCTATATTACATTAGTGTAGTTATTGTAAAAACCTTTTCTTAATGGTGGAATAAAGGTTACATAACTACTATATTACATTATTAAAAATAAGGTTAAATGAGTAGATAGTCAATTACTATTACAGTAATTTAATTGCTACTCCAAATAACAATTTAAATAATGTCATCTTAGATCATAGAGATTGAAGATTTATCAGAAGTTCAAATAAACTTTTTGTATAAGAACTTTAAAAAGTATGAAGTTTTGAAAAATGGATATCTATAATCATTGTACTTCATTAAATTTATATTTTTCAATTTTTATACCGATTTACTTAAGCTTGTAATATAAGTTTTTTGATGTCCTAGGTCTCTTTCAGAATTATCTGTGTCGATAATCCAGGATACGTCCCACCTAGCCAGTTTGGACATGACTATATTTTCTACGAAAAGAATGTCGGTTACCCACCTGCGGGTGTTGCAGCTTCCATGCTCCCCTTCATTTCAAAAAATCCCCAATGGCGTGATGGAATTAGTGACAATGGATTGCCTCATCGAGCAGCTGGTTGGGATATTCAGTTAACAGGATCTGCTTTGGTGACTGTGAAGATTCGTGACGTCAATGATTGCTCACCTGTGTTTAGTGAATCTGAGTATATCTTTACGATAGAAGAAAACCAGCCAAACTTGTCAATAGAGAATGATGTCACCCTATCGGATAGCACAACATTCGGCATATCAATAGGTCGAGTGATCGCTCGAGATGCAGATCAAGAAGGACAAATAACATACGGAATGTCTAAAAATCCTGAGACTGCATTTCATGTGGACTCAAAAACCGGCCACTTTTACATCCGACGTCCATTCGACCGAGAAGCCTTGCTGGAAGTAATGAATACTGTTGGTCCGCAAAACTTCACTGAACAGTTTGCAGAAGTTGATAGAAGGAGCATAGCGACAAATCTTGCAGTTCCTGTCTTCGCAGAAGTATTCGCATTTGATGGAGTGCACAACGTTACTGTTCCTGTGCGTGTCCTCATCACCGACGATAATGACTGCCCACCCATTTTTGAGCAAAACAATTATGAATTCATTGTGGCCGAAAATGAACGCCCAATCGGCATGGGCCCAATAGGTCGGGTATCTGCAGTAGACAGAGATGTAGGGATAAATGCAGTAGTAACCTATCATATTGATTCATTGTCGATCTGGCGCCAAAGAACGGATTATCAAGAGATCAATGATACAGCTGTTGCAGGTAGTACAATAGCCGGTCAACCCCAACGTTCTAGCAATGATAATAGCAAGAATATCAATTTGATGAATTTTTTCACTATCGGTACCAACTCAGGTCAACTTCATGTAGTTAGACGTCTGGATCGTGAGAAACAGGCTGAGCACATTTTTAAAGTGCTAGCTGTAAATAATCCATCAAACCTGGCTAGTCAGTCTGGGCAATCCTTCGGCTCACTGACTATACAGGGTGCAACACCTGGAGGATGGGGTGGTCTTCTGACAGTTCAGCTATCACCAACCAGCATTCGCCAGTCTCGGGCTCGCC